TCGCTGGAACAACAAACCAAACAAGAAGAGGAACTAGCAAAGGCCTAACGAGACTTCTAGCAGCATCTTCCCATTCCGCATAAACAAACAGAGGAATGAAAGACTGACATCACTGCTTTAGCTGCACCGTTGACTTAGCCGACGCTTTGATTCAATTAGAAATCTAATCACTCGGACAGCCCTGCGCTACACTTCGGGGATACGCTTACCGGGAAGTCCTACGTTCTCTACAACTGGTAGCCCAACTCAACGGGAGAAAGAGGAAGCAGCCCTATTAGAATAGAAGCCTTCGGAACTACTCTAGCATCTTCTTACCCTTCCCTGAAAGTTTCATTCATCAAAAACTTTGTTTCAGAGTGCAGATTTCTTAGCTATACAGGCATTCAAACTTTGATGTATCTAACCTTAGTGTCCATAGGGCAAAGCGGGAAATCCTTACCGGACGAAAGCAAGAAGCAGGCAGCTAATTAACGCAGTCAACTCATAGTTCATCTTCTTCGACCTGTATCCGCATACCATTTACAATCGATAGATAGCTAGTCTGTCTGATTCTGTTCTCGAGGAACGCCAGTCTCTCGACTGAGAGGAACGCCTCTTACTAAGGGGATTCTGTTCGGATTCGTCTTTTAGACTAGCACCAGCCTTTATTCCATTCCGCAAGTGGAATGTCGTAGGAAACCCTCTACATGGGTGTGCTATAAAACTAGGAGAAGAACAGAACTAAACGGATCAATTCCTTTGACCGGTCGTTTCGAGCTTCCAGTTATTCTGGATTGCTAACGTGGTTCGATGACGCCGATGGAAGGAACCACTGGAGATTCATCCAACTTCGATCCCCTAAAGTAAAGGCAAGCGCGTAGGCTATAGAATCCAAAATAGAGCTCCTTCGGCTCTAAACTGCTACTGTGCTTATTTGGTCTATCAGCGACTCGGCCAGCTACTGACCTAATTGGTAGCTTTTCAGTCAAGGTATGGATCACTCACTTCTGAGTCTATTTGTTGCAGACAAGCTGCTTTGGTCTCACTCCTAGCTTTTCTTATCGAAAGGAAAAAAGAAGGATCGTCTCACTCCAGTCAAATATGTATGTGGTTGGGTTCGAATCCCAATGAGCTATGAATTCGAGGAAAGGACTCTCATCCCCTGAATGAGCATCCCCCGAAACCGATCTATCATGTAGGTTCAGATCCACAAAAGCACCGGCATTCCCTGGTCCTCGGGAATGGTGGTCGCGTACTTCATCTGACGATACGAAGGTATCGGATAGATTGAAGAGTCGTAAGTCGACTTGAATCACCTCAAGGGGTGTAGGTGAGCCCGGTGGTATAAGTGCTTATGTTGGAAAGGCTCTACCCGTTGTATTGTGTAGTGGGAGTAGTCGTGCTAATGTTGAGAAGCAGAGTAAGAAGGCTTGCAGACCTTCTTAGTCCATGCTTTCTATTCTATGTGCGTGGATGTCACTATTGATTCAATTGGCCATCATTTTCACTTAATTCGTATTGGATTCCGCTTTGTCTAATAGACAGAGGAAAAGTTTCCATATCCCACTCTGAAAAAAAGCCTATTTATTGATAGGTCAGGCCTTCAGAAAGACTTGTTCCATCTTAATCTTCTAGTTTTCACTCTTCTAGTTTGCCGCGGACTCTGCTCTTAGAGTCGATTCCTACTCTCGAACAGAAAGCAGGTAAGCCCTTCAAAGCTTTTCTTTGAAGCGGAGACTATTGGTAGTGAGAGAAATGTCATCTAAAGAAAGTCTCTGACAAGACCTGCTGATTAAAGGAAAAACTCTTCGCTGGGAACTCTCCAAGCAAGTGATTTGAGGTACTTTAGTAACTCGACTGGAATGCTTGAAGCTACTAGAGAAAGTCCTACTCTTTCATTTAGAGCCGAAACAGCTTCAGATGGTTCTTTTCCTGTCTAATTCAACTGTCGACTTTATAAATGATTCAGTAGACCCGGGAACTTCTATTATTATGTTAGAAGGCTTGCCCCAAGCGCTTTAGGTACCTAGTACGCACAACTAGCCGTTATCCCCTACCGTCATAGCTTCAGATTTCCAACAGCCCTTAGACACTCAAATGCCCCGGGATCGCATTTCCACTTCCACTGTCCCTGGTATCAACCACTTACATCATTAGAAGTAGATCTTCCTCAGAGAAGGAAAGTCTATAGATACCTAAAATGCTGAACAGAAAGTGAAAGCGGTCCAGAAATTCTCATAACCGCGGGGAAGCCCTTCACTTCTAAGGAGGATTTTTTATTCCCATATAACTCCATCAATTGATTCAGTAGCCGCCCTAGTAGCATAAAATACAATTGCTTCTACTCCCGCTTTTGAAGTATGCCATCTATCTTCTGCTGTAAATGCAACTACTGGTTCATTGATAGTGTACACCCTTACCAAGGCCAAGGATGAAATGCCAGATTGAACTGATACTGTTGGCCAATCAAGGCAATCATCAGCCTACGAGGTCTAGGGAATGAAAGTCTTATAGAGGAGACTGGCTTCGTAAGTAAAGTAAATGAATTTGAGATAGATAGCTCGGAGAAGCTAGAGAGGCACGGAGTGACTCGACTGAAAGGAGAGGTAAATGAGTTACCAGCTACAGAAACTATTCACTCTGATGTTACACCATTTCCTGCCGAGAAACGCCTTATCTTTGTGCCGATATTGGAACTATTTCATATGTAGATTCCTCAACTTATTCCCTTTCTGGTATTGAACCAGTAACAAGATCGTCCCTTTCCGATTCCGATTCGTTGACTGCTAGAGCAAGAGGACCTTTCCTACCTTATGATAGACAGCTTTCACTGCTACGGCTATTGGCTTTAGCTCTACTATGGCATTCCCTGTAGTTCTTGGAGTAACTCAAACTCGAACTCCTGTTACAGCTTATGCCGGCTATAGACTACGCCTCTATTCATCCTTCGTTCGTGATCACTCCCAGCAATCACTTCACTGGCTAACAGTTAGTTAGAAAGTGTTCCGGCTAAGGCCTATAGAACTCATTTCACTCCGGTTATAGCTGAAAGTGGCTTTGTTCTTATNCCTGTAGTTCTTGGAGTAACTCAAACTCGAACTCCTGTTACAGCTTATGCCGGCTATAGACTACGCCTCTATTCATCCTTCGTTCGTGATCACTCCCAGCAATCACTTCACTGGCTAACAGTTAGTTAGAAAGTGTTCCGGCTAAGGCCTATAGAACTCATTTCACTCCGGTTATAGCTGAAAGTGGCTTTGTTCTTATCGTTCAGTGGTCACTCGCCTATAGGTAAGTAAAGAAGGGATTCTATTGTATTCCGATACTGTTACGAGCTGTCTTAACTCCACTTACTTCTAGGCCATTAGCTCAGTAAGCTCAGTAACTCCATTCTCTTATGCCAGCCTTACTTCAATTCCCTTCTTCGCCTCAACAGCTAAAGCATCCCTTTCTGCAGCTCCTGAAACAGCCGAAGAACCTGGAGTTTATGATTCCGGCAGGAGAGGTATTCTTTACTGCGCTCTAGCAACAAGACAGCTAGCCGATCAGTCGTAACTGCCCCCGACAGCCACTCCTTCTTTACAGCTTGCTCGCATAAGGACGCTTCGCTAGCAGCCTATTCTCATCAAGCTACTCCGAACAAAGAGAAGGAATACTCTTTAGAATGCGCTAGCAGCAACCCTTAGCCGCTCAATCGTGCCTTACTTCAGTAGATGCATACGCACAACGCGGTAGGCACTCGCTCACTACAGCTTGCTTACTTAGGAAGATCGCTTCGCTTGCTAACTAACACATCAAGGAACAAACAAACCTTGCAGACGGAGAAGGGGAACTCTACTTGACAGACAGATAAGGAATCCCCGTCTCCTAGCTAACAATACCTCGTCGGGATGGAATGCCTACTCGGAACAAACTAGCCTGAAAAAGTGATATTTCGTATAATAATAATGAATGAATGAATGGATCGAATTGGATCATCAACGGGCGAAGTGAGTCAAATACACTCTTTCTTGGCTAGTGTGTAGTAGACTCCATTATGGTCATTCGTAACGGCTCCATATAGTTTGATTTTGGGGCGTAACGTTGTGATTGTTCCATCGACTGACCGATATACTAGTTCCAGAGGCATCTTCCATTCATATCGATTTGGGTTTTTCTGCACCATATTTTGATCTGCCTCTTCTTCGACCCGGAATTCCCATCAAATCCTTTACTCCTCGAATACAATGGGATTTTACACCTGGCGAATCTTTCACTCTACCTCCTCTTATTAACACCTGCGAATGTTCCTGCGAATTATGACCTTCGCCCGGAATGTGAGCAAATATATCATGTCGATTGCTCAACCGTACTTTGGCTATCTTACGTGGAGCGGAATTCGGTTTTTTCGGTGTTCTCGTTGAAACACGCGGGCATGCTCCTAGCTTCTGGGGACATTTATCCAAAGCTCGAGTACGGTCCGTGCGCCGTTTTTCTTCTCTACCATGACGAATCAATTGATTAAACGTAGGCATTATTCTCTTTCCTTTCTTTTTCCCCCCCCATTTTTTGCCCTATCACTTTACTCCCGATCCGAAGCACCCCTTTTCCATTCATAGAGAAATCCAATCGTCAAAATAAATAAAAAGGCCATCATGGACCAAAATCCAAACAAATCAATCTTGTTGGGAGGTACTGCCCAAGGAAAGAAAAAGGTGACTTCCAGATCAGGGATTAAAAATAAAATTGAAACAAGATAAAATCGTATATCGAAACGACTTCTGGCATCACCGGAAGGATCGAAACCACATTCGTAGGCCGACAATTTTTCTGGGTAGGTAGAACTATTGGAAGCAAATGGAAAAGGAACACCGAGTAGGATCAAAGAAACTAGCAGACTAATCACTAAATAGATAGAAATTGGTGCAAATTCTGACATCATTACAGCCCACTTTGTTTTCTCGCTCCTTGCTGGCGAAGAAGCGGCATATCGAAAAATAAAGAAAGAAGCAAAAGCCCATCCCGAAAGGTAGCTTGCTTACTTATGCGATAGAGTCCCCCCCAGGGCCGCCTTTCTTGAGGAACACTCTATTTTTGAGTTCCTCAAATTCTGGGGCCTCTTTACCGCGCTCATTTAGAGCACTTAACAGGCGGTATAACTGCTCCAAGGAGTGCTCTCCCGTGGCGGTACGGGGATTGTCGAGGGCCCGAGCTCCCCGCCCCATCCAATCCCCCGTTGGATCAAGGCCAGCCATTACCTTCACAATCTCTACCTTGACCTCGAAGAGGTCTTCGGCTTGAATGTGGGCTAATTGGATGACCTCGTATGAGGGATAAGCAAATGCCGCCAAAAGGCGACGTTGGATGTCGCCAACGCTATCCCCCCCTATAATTTCATTCCCTTGATAGGGATAGGGGACAGATGGCCCNCCCCCGTTGGATCAAGGCCAGCCATTACCTTCACAATCTCTACCTTGACCTCGAAGAGGTCTTCGGCTTGAATGTGGGCTAATTGGATGACCTCGTATGAGGGATAAGCAAATGCCGCCAAAAGGCGACGTTGGATGTCGCCAACGCTATCCCCCCCTATAATTTCATTCCCTTGATAGGGATAGGGGACAGATGGCCCAGCTTCGTCCCCCCCGGAAGGGACTGGATTAGCTGGAAGCGCAGGCCCAGCTTCCTCGGGACCCCGCCGATTGACCGAGGGTTCACCCTCTTCCGTTTGGGATGCCTGGGGAGGAAGCTGATTGACCGATTCGCTACGTCCGGAACTGGTCGAATCTTCCAGCATATCGGACGTATAGGTCAACCACTCCGAGGAGGCCTCGGCTTGGTGATTAACTATCGCTCCAGATGAACCCGTAACTGCCAATGTGCCCATAAAGACAGAAAAGACATCTGCGGAGAATGTACAAAAACCTGCCAATACATGAGTACGTAGAAGAACGAAAAAGAGGGAGATTTGACAAACAAGGGCTAGATAGCACCATTGTGTCATCCTCTTTCCTAAATACTGCCTAAAGGAGCTAAAGAGACAAATTTGAAAAACCAAGAAAATCAAGAAGATTAGCAGATTTAAATGGTAAACGGCTTCAGATCCTAGAAAACGTCCGAAAAAGCACCCCGCTACGGAACCGAACATGGGCAAAAATACGATTAGTGGGTTTTTCATGATAAGTTGGATTTTCATAATAAGTTGGATTTTCATAATATGAACGAAATCAAAAAACTCTTCTATTCTTGACGGTGAACGGCCGCTTTGTCATTAGAGTGTGAGAACCTTAAGGAGAAAGCTTTTTGATTGATTTGTTTACTCAACTCGTAAAGGCTCATCAAACAGCGCTTTCTAGCTTTCTTCAGGATTTAGCCTGAACCGATGCCAGAGCTCTCACTCAGTGGTTTGTGGACTCGAACCACAGTAGGAATTTACAGTTCCGGCTCCCCAGTGGAGCGTAACCACTTTCTTACTCGTAAAGGCAAAGAAAAAAGGGATCCGCCTCGAATCAAAACGTTCTTTCTTTTCTCAAAACGATCTTTCTTCTCTTATGAAATTGATAGTTTCGAAAAACGATCTTTCTTCTCTTATGAAATTGATAGTTTCTCAAAACGATCTTTCTTCTCTTATGAAATTGATAGTTTGTGAGAGGAATGCAATAACTCGACTATTTACATATCTGATTTCCAGCAACAGCTCTTTCTATCTTTCTGGCTGTTCTACCTACCCATCTCTTTCAAACCTGGTTTGCTACTCGATAGATCTTCCCCTGGGATGGATCCTGGGCTACTTAAGATCGGATCAACATCCCATTCCATTACAAATGGTTAAACAGCTATCCCTTACCATACATCTCTTCCCGCTACGCGCCTCACAGCCGGTATTGGCCCTTGCTGTGCTCCCCCTGGAACTGTAGTTCACTCCCTCCGGGAGCTGCAGCTATCTTCTCAACAATCAACTACCCACTCTTGTTTGTGTTGTTCGTAATTGTAATAAGTAGCATGAGTTGCAAGCAAGTGTAGCGAAGCTGCCTTGCTGGTTAGTAAGCATGTACTGCTAACTCCCTCCCTACGGGAGCTGCAGCTATCCTCCCAACAATCAACTACCCAATCTTGTTGCTAATGTGCATGAAGTTGAAGCAGGTGTTGCGAAGCTGCCCTGCTGCTTTGATTGCGTAGCTACCTCCCGCAGGGAAACGCAGCTAACTCCTTAAAAATAGTAAACAGTTTGTTAGTAGGTATGAGTTGCAAGGAAGTGTTGCGTAGCTGCCCGGCTCCTTAGTAAGCACGGGAACCCTCCCGCAGGGAGCTGTAGCTAGCTCCTTATTAACAACTCCCTTGCTTGTTTTGCCTAGGCATGAGTAGTTCAGTTCGAAAATGGATCCTCAATAAAAAAAAATGGAATATCTGTGCGGATATGTTCAGCTTTGGGTGGAAAGGTAAGGAATTTGACTCCGACTAAGATTATTGTCCATGGTGTAACGGACACAGCCAAAATCACTCTCGGGTACAACATGCTACAGATGCCTGTGGATCGCTGGGAGGCGTACATACAATGAATGTTATTGATGCTACTCCTTCTTACCATTTTTGACTGGGGCGACCCCCCATTGATCTTGGCTTGCTTCTTTGTTCTTGGCTACTGCTTGATTAACTATTGCGAATTATTTAATGATAGAAATAAATCCTNGCCAAAATCACTCTCGGGTACAACATGCTACAGATGCCTGTGGATCGCTGGGAGGCGTACATACAATGAATGTTATTGATGCTACTCCTTCTTACCATTTTTGACTGGGGCGACCCCCCATTGATCTTGGCTTGCTTCTTTGTTCTTGGCTACTGCTTGATTAACTATTGCGAATTATTTAATGATAGAAATAAATCCTTCTTCCTTCCCACATCGCGTCCTAGAGGGGCCGCTCGGACGAAGAAAGTCAGGGATAGAGTTCGAGTGAGACATCAACCATAGATTTCGGAACTTTCGAGATGCTTTCTTGCGAAAGCCAACGGAGTCTGTAACTCAACCTTCTCACCCATGGGGGGAATCCATCATATTCGATGAAAAATTGCAATCGAGGGCACCCTCATTTCCAGAGATAAAATCAGGCTGCACAGAAGGGGAAAAGCCCTCCTACTGAGCAAGATCATTAATGAATAAGGAAGCACTTAACTTAGGACAGCCGGTCTCACTTCACGCAGCATAGCGCCTTGCTATTTGCATTCATCCTTGTAACTTACCGAAGTGAGGAAAGCCACATTGGGGATCGCGAATCGGGAGGGTGGCGAAGATATTACCCTTCAAGCTTCACAGCCAGTCTCTCATGGGTCAACACAAACACCTCGAACCCAGATCCTTGATGTCATAATGCATCTGACAGTGTGAAGACACAAAACTGCATATGGAGTTTCTTTAAGGAAGACAGTAACGCTGCTCTTGTGCATATGGGTAACCCGAAGGTCCTGGTCTCTTTTAGCAGCTTCACCATTTGGCAGTCTTGACAAGTGGCTGGTAAGCTATTCAGCAAGGGTTCTGCAGAAAGATTTCTGTGTAGTCATTAGCTGTAAGTGGGGTTCTTCTATGTGTTGTGGCTATACCTTCCTCTTCCGGCTGACCCCACCCCTTGGACTTTTGGGCCTGATCCTGTCATTGAAGCGGCGTAGCCGACGAACTGCCGCTTGTAGCTGCGGCTTCAACCCCAGCAAGAAAACCTCCTCAAAAGATTTCCCTGGCAAGCTAAGAGTCTTAAGACAGAGAGCTTCAAACCTTTTCCTATACTCACGGACACAGACCCATCCTGACGAATTCCAAAATACCGAGGCTGATTGGTTTCCTTTGCCATCGCATCTGCCCCTCGTCGTAGCCTCTGTTTAAGCTCTTTCCAACTGTTTGGTGGATCTCTATCCCTCAGTTCCGAAATCCAAATCCCTGTTGGTCCCTCGAGACAGAGGTACACAACCGGCTCTCTCTGATTCTCTTGGATGTGATACTCCCAGAAATATGATTCCAGATGGTTGATCCATTTTTCCAGGACTGTCCCTGAGCAGCCCGAAATCTTATACCCAGTATTCACTCTCCTGTCTCGTTCTCTACCAGCTGAGAGGGATCCTTATTACTCTATGTAATCCTGTTCTGTGAAGCTAACTGTCTCCATTCTGCTATCACCCCTGTGTTTCGAATCCGTTTGTCTCCACCAGACCTGTTCAGGAGGTCAGTTTCTTCCCAAGCTCTATCAGATCTGGTCCAGTCCATGGCTCCTCTTTCGAGCCAGCTCTCTCCGCCTGAATCGAGACATCAAACCCATAACGGAGTGTCGGATCTCGGGATGGAGTTCTAGAATCCACCGACGCAGTAGGGGATCTAGATTACCATGTTTCACAAATGGTCGTGCCACTTCAGCACCGAGTGATCTGAGAGAAGAGGAGTCCGAGCCCTTTCCTAGAATTCAAACTTTCTCTTTATATATCAGGAAAAGTTAGCAATCCTATTTTCCTTCGTAAGAGGACAGTAGGAATCCAAACCTTTCCTTTCCAGAACGGAAGGCACCAGTCTTAACGGTAAACGTCGGCAGAAGTGAAAGTGACCCCGGGCAAGGGGGAGCAGCTTTCCAGATCTAAATACGAAGAGAATGCAGCTATGCTACTACGATTCCATAGAGTTGCACGGAAATGGGACCATAAGAAAGGTTCGGCACTGGTTGGGTCTTGAAGTACTATATCTTACGCGCTACAAACCGAGAGAGGGCCGAAAGATAGCGCTAAAAGCAACATACAGAAAGGGTAGTGAGAAACAGAACAATGGGCTGGTATACACACAGAAAACAGAGCTAAACCGGCTAAGAGCTACTCTAGCTACCCGAGCTGCCTAGCTAGAATAAAACAAAACTCAGATTATTTTCCTAGCTGCATTAGCTGGGAGGATCGGGACTCCGATCCGACAGAAAATCTCTTTCTTTTCTGAGTTCCCTGCTGGGGTGGGAGTTAGGGCGTAGCTTGTTAATTCCCCTCCTAGTCAGTGTAGCTAGTCTTGCTTCGAATGGGTAGCTATTTCTCCTGCTATAGGCGCAAGTGTAGCTTCAGCAGTAAGTGTGAAGCAGGGCTGCTGATGTAGTGCGTACCTCTCCTGACAGTCGACTTACGACTCTTCAATCTATCCAAAACCCCGCAAACGCTTGGAGTTGGATCCACAACAAAAACTCAACCGTGGTCGTCCAGCACGAGATTTCACTTACACCGAATCGCGAATCCCGTGCAAGAGAAAGTGTGACCTTCGTCATAGAATTCCTCTTTCATTGCGGGTGATACCTATTTGCAACTAGACCCCTGGATCGCTCTCTTCTTTGATTGAGTTATAAAATAACAGGTAGTAGAATGTTGACTGAAGGATGATCTTGACTTGGGATCATAGAAAACTAGCATGACTAGAGCTTTCTTTGACTTTAGATCTCTCTTTCCCCTGATCGTAGGCTTCAGACAGATCTCCATTTCCTACCTAAATCACTAGGGCATTGATTCAACAGAGTTGCCTTGCGTCGATGAAAAAAAGAGATGAATTCACTCTTGTTCCGGCAAATGCTTTTTGAGCTTAATCGAACGAGCTAGAGGGTCAAATCAATCCAATCGATGCATTCCTACTTTTCACTTGGATGACAGTCTCTACCCTGCTCTTCTAGCACATTCTGGAGGGCGATCCACTAGATTCGAAACAGGAACGGATAGAGCTTCCCTAACTAGAACCTACCATCAGGCTAGGTACGAGAGAGACTGATCCATCAGCAGAACTCCTCGAGACTTATCCAAGAAATCAGGGAGAACTCCTACTTATGATGGAATGAGCTAGATTTGAATGAAGAGATAGATTCGTCAGACAGAGAAAGAAGAAGTCGATCACTTACGCGACCTCTGCTACCGTCCATTCGCCCAGTCTATAAACTCAGTGGATAGAGTAGATAAGTGAGATCCGACCATCTTCCACGCCCTCATCCACTAGGCCAACTCCAGTCTCAGATTAACTCGGAACTACTTTCCTTATTCTGGTCAAACTCTCTATTGGGAAAAAACAACCTTTGTGACAAGTGGTCAAAAGAAGAGAATATAGAGACCTTGATGAGCTGACGCAGGCTCTTACGTCCATTCCTGATAAGGAATAGGATAAGGACTTTAGGAACCAACATAGCTTCATCTCAATGAAGAACATTCCCAGAACGAGATGAG